GCTTCATTTTTATTTACATTTTCACCCTTGGATTTATTTTTTAATTTACGTTTTTGCCCTTGTTGTTTAATAAGCTCAACAATTTTTTTTGACCATTTTTACCCATTATTAATAGCAAAGTTATTAGGACAACCATTGTGGAATCTTGTACCACATGCTATGGATTGTGGTACCCTAGTAATCACTAATATTGGACTTATTCAAATTATTTTTCAAATTAGGGTCTTAAGTTCAATACATAAACAATAAAAATCCTATTTCTGTTTACACGTGGAGTAGGCTATTTTGAAATTCAACAATTATAATTAAAATCGAAATTAAATGATTAGTTGTAATAAAACGGTTTTATGCTTATCTAATCATATTATTTTGACTTTAAGAAAACTGATCAGATTTATCAAACAAGTAGTCAAACTAATACATCTATGTAGCTTTACATTGTTTTTTTTTTTGGTGTTTTTCTTTTGTATTAATAAAATATTTTGTATTTTGTCCAGCTTATTCATTTAATAAAATCTTTTCACCGTTCAAAAAAACTAATACGTATAGATGCATTAACTATCTGAAAGCATGTATAGATTCTCAAACCACTAAAAATAGCAATAATTAATTTATGGATGTTAGTAAAAGTTTGTATCAAAAAGTTTATAGCCCAACACCATCATACGTTGTAATCTTTTTTTGAAATCGATGGTTCAAGTTTCGTGATAAACATAGATATTACTAGTTATTAATTTAAAAGTATGATATTTGCTGGTTCATAAAAAGATAAAAGTTCATTAAGTATTAATTTTGATATGAGATTAGATATTTAGATTTGAAAAAATCAATCAATTTTTTTATAAATGTTAATTGTCAAGAAAATTAAGGATAAATTACACAATGAATATACTTTCAATCAATTTTTATATTAATTTTTCTAATTAAAATAAAGTATATTTTTTAATTGAAAAACTCGTGTTGACAACTTATGATAATTAATCTTTGAAGATCAATATATATATATATATATATATATATATATATATATATATATATATATATATAGGGTTAGGTTCATTTGAGACCACCTATATTTTGTGAAACCGTGAGATGCATTTTTTAATTTTATTTTATTTTTTTTATTTTTTTTTATTTTTTTTTATTTTTTTTTAGTTAATTCATGTTCCGAAAATAATATTTAAAAAAAAGAATTTTTTGATTTTTCCATTTATTTTGCATTTTAAAATTATTTTTAGAATATGTACAGTGTAATATTCTATTTAGAATATTTCACGTATTTTTCAAAAAAAATAGAATTTTTTTTTAATTTTTTTTAGTTAATTCAAGTTCCGAAAATAATATTTAAAAATTTTTTTTTTAGATTTTTCCATTTATTTTGCATTTTAAAATTATTTTTTAGAATAGGTCAGTGTAATATTCTATTTAGAATATTTCACGTATTTTTCAAAAAAAAAAAAACGGAATTTTTTTTATATTTTTTTTAGTTAATTCAAGTTCCGAAAATAATATTTAAAAAAAGAATTTTTGGATTTTTCCATTTATTTTGCATTTTAAAATTATTTTTAGATTTGGTCTCACAGTCTCACAAAATTAGAATGATCTCAAATGAACCTGAACGTATATATATATATATATATATATATATATATATATATATATATATATATATATATATATATATATATATGATCGGGTAAGAAGTCAAATAATTATAAGAACCGCAAGAACAATTTTTGATCTTAAGATTGAAAAAATAAATTACTAGGATTTAATTTTATTTATCGTCAAAATCTCGCAAGATAATATGACATTTTCGCAATTAACTGTGAGATTTTGATAATTTCCGGTGAAGGTTAATTGTTTTGAAGGTACAAGTAACAAAAAAAATAAAAGAAAAAAGAAAAAAGAAAAGGAAAACTCAACTATGTTGCCTCTCCAGCAGCTGACACGTACCCCCACCCCACATGACAAATGTCCAGCCCTTATTAGCTGATGAGTTTTTTTTTCACCAGTTTAGTTTTTCGGCCATAGCTTTTTTTTCTTTAAAACCAAAATCTGAAAATCAGAGTTTTAAAATTTAATTTTCTACAAAATGAACACAATCATGAAAATTTGAATATATATATATATATATATATATATATATATATATATATATATATATATATTATTTTTTATATTTATAAAAAAACCCAGAAAAAAAATTCTCCAATAATTATAAAAATTTAAGGAATCCTTCTACTCACTATTCTAATAACTTTGTAAAAAGATTTTTTTTTTTTTTAAATAAGGTGTTTTAGATACCAAACTTGATTTTAAAAGATTAAAAGTTTTCAAAAAATTTTTGAACATAATATGATGCAAATAGAGATGATTCAAAATATTTATGATTCAAACATATTTTGATTCAATATGTTTATCATTCTTAACTTGTTATAATCTAAAAATATTTTGATTCTAATATTTAATGATCTTTAATTATTATATTTTTTGTGATTCAAAATTAAATACTTTAAAAATTATAACGATCCAAATGTTATATTGAACAAAAAAACTTTATTTAATTCAATATATTACGATCCAAACTAAAATGATCCAGATTAATATGATCAGAAAATATATGATGCATAAGATCGTTATTATTCAAAATTTTATGATCAAAAAATAATATTATTCAAAAAAAATATGATTGGAAAATATTATAGTCTTTAATATTCTTCTTGTTTAAAAATTTATAATTATTAAACATTAAAAATTCAAACCGAAATTTAGTTTAAAAATAAATAAAATAAAATAAAATAAACTCTACTGTCTTCAAGTATATAGTAAAGATATCAAAAATATAAAATAAATAAATAAATAAAAATGAAAAATATAAAAAAATATGAAAAAATATAAAAACATAAAAACCGAACATATATTTATTTAAGAAAAAAAATTAATATTTTTTAACGAAAAATAAAAAATAATAAAAAAACGAAAAGAAAAACTTAATAAATGAAAAAGAAAAGGAAAACTCATTTAAATGACGTTTCATGGACGTTCATCACGCATGATTATTCTCTCGAATCCGTATTACGTTCCATGCACGTGCGCTGAATGCAAACGCGTTACGACCAAGTAATGAGTTTGACGTTTGTGCTCTTGACGAAATGATTGGTGGAGAATATTCAGTCACACATTTATTTTGTCACAATACACATAGGCTTGCCGGTGGAAATGAATAACGGATAAACATGTGTTTTCCAACCAAACAAGTTTCCTTAAACTATGTTAATCATTACCTTAATATACGCAAAAACATTTTTTTTTTGTTTTTTTAGTTTTTAGAAAGCTATTTTATTGAAAAAGTATTTTAAATATATCAAAATTCAAAATTTTTTATTCTCTATAAATAGGCATCCATATTGATATAGTTTTAAGATAAATTAATTTTTTTAGAGCTTCAGCTATCGTTATTCATAACTGAATAAAAATCTGATTAAAGTACATTCGTTATTCACTCATTAATAAAACGTATGCTTAACTTTTTTTTATAGTTTGAGTATCGTTCATATATGAATATAACACATAATAAAGTTTTTTTACTTAAAATATATTTTTACATCATCTTTCGTCATATATTATATTTATATATGAATAAACGTGTATTAGTTATCGTCATATTTTATATTCATATATGAATAAAACATTTATTAGATTTTTGTTACAATTAATTTGCTGTTCATATATGAATAATTAGTATAAATGATACTTAAACTATAAAAAAAAATTAATCATATTTTTTTATTCATAAGTGAATAACGAATGTATTGTAGTAAAAATATGATGGATTTTTATTCAGTTATAAATAACGACAGATAAAACTATAAAAAAATAAAAATAAAAATTATTTTTCTTAAAACTATATCAATATGGATGTCTATTTATAGAAAATAAAAAGTTATGAATTTTGATATATTTAGAATCATTTTTCGATAAAAACAACTCCTTAAAAATTAAAAAAACGAAAAAACTATGCTTTTGTATATATATTAAGGTAATGATTAACATTGAGGCTAATTACTAATTTAGCCAAATTAAAGGGGTAATTAGCAATTTTTAGCCAAAAATTAGTAGATGGCCAAAAATAGCACACGAAACCGTAGGTTTTGAGATTCGCCTACTGTTTCGCCATTTTGTCTACTGTTTCGCATTTTGTATAAAAAAAATCATTTTTCACATACAAAACCATAGGTATTATATAACCTACGGTTTTCTCTCTAATAAGTACAGTTTTCCAAACCGTAGGCTACGGTTTTGGGAAAAAAAGCTACGCTTTTTTATCTACTATTTTGGAGGGTTTATCTACTATTTTGTTCAAAAAACTACCGTTTTTTTATCTACTATTTTGGGGGTTTTATCTACTATTTTGTCCAAAAACTATGTTTTGTTTTGTTTTTTTTTAATTTATTTTATTTTATTTTATTTTTTTAAAATACAGAGAATAAAAAAAAGTGTTTATATAATAACTTTAACAACTATTATGTTTAAATTTTAACAATTATTTGGTTTAAATTTGACTACTTTTTCGGTAAACTTGACTACTTTGTTATTAATTTGACTATTTTTTTTTTTAATTTGACTACTGTTTTGTTAAATTTGACTATTTTTTCGTCAGAGTTGACTACATTTTCGTCAGAGTTGACTACCGTTTTCAACATACTATATATATTAAGTATTTTATATTTTTTGAAATATTTCATGTTTTTTAAAAGTTTCTTCACTCTAGCTTTTTTTTATTCTCAAAATTAAGATAATGAGTTGTAAAGAGTATTTTGTATTGCTCATTACGGATGGAATATGGGAGTTTGTTAATTCCCAAATATCATATGTTTGGCCACCGGGATACAATCCGAGAATGTTTTATTTAGGTGTTGAATTTTATGAAACCACCATATACATCGAGTTTGTTCATTTGGTGAAGTGCAAGATGGATCTTCCCGAAGAATCAAAAGTCAGTCTGGCTTATCAACATCCATAACAACTCTATCTGTTATGAACACAACTTCGCTACCCTCCCCGATAGCATCCTTCAGCCTCATAAGGAACCAAGTGCAAGAGTTAACATTATTTGTCACCCCAATACCAAATGCTATTGGCGTAGTGTTGTTGTTTCCATCCATAGCAACTGCTACGAACATTGAATTAAGATAATCTCCTCGAATTCGAACATTGCCTATAAAAATGATTGGAAGCATGCATCCTAAGAATGCGTTGATCTATTTCATATTCTTTACAACACAATTAATAGTTTTTTAAGTAATATAAATCTTTGTAGCACAAAAAATAAACAAATCGCAAGTACATTACCACACATCGAATAGCGACAAAACATAGTCGGAACCGATCCAAAACATCGGTTTTGATTTAAGTGTAACTATCGGGATTTATACGTTGAATGTTGTGTAGGTAAACAGGCAAGTTGGTAAAGCTTTCTTCGTGGTCATTGTATGAGAAACTCATGTTTAGTGTTGACGAGTTAAACACAAAGTTAATGATAAGGATGATTTTAATCAATACCTATAAAATAATGGGGTAGTCAACACCTAGAAAGTAGTAGTCAAACGCTAGAGGATAGTAGGCAACACCTATAACACGGTAGTCAAATTACAATCATATGTCTGAATTTCACTGTATGACAAGACAACACATAAAGTAGTAGTCAAACGCTAGTGAATAGTAGTCAACACCTATAACACGGTAGTCAAATTACAATCATATGTCCGAATTTCACTGTACGATAAGACAACACATAAAGTAGTAGTCAAACGCTAGTGGATAGTAGTCAACACCTGTAACACGGTAGTCAAATTACAATCATATGTCTGAATTTCACTATACGATAAGACAACACATAAAGTAGTAGTCAAACACTAGTGGATAATATTCAACACCTGTAACACGGTAGTCAAATTACAATCATATGTTTGAATTTTACTGTACGATAAGACAACACATAAAGTAGTAGTCAAACGCTAGTGGATAGTAGTCAGCACTTGTAACACGGTAGTCAATTACAATCATATGTCTGAATTTCACTGTACGATAAGACAACACATAAAGTGGTAGTCAAACGCTAGTGGATAGTAGTCAACACCTGTAACACGGTAGTCAAATTACAATCATATGTCTGAATTTCACTGTACGATAAGACAACACATAAAGTAGTAGTCAAACGCTAGTAGATAATAGTCAACACCTATACAATAGTAGTCGAATAGCAGTATATAATCCCTTGACGATATATATTTACCTATCAAAACTAACAAAAATTTACTTCTCACAAACCAAAGAAATGACAATTTGCAATTGTGGGGCTCAAGGTATTATAAGGACCTAAAGAACTACCAACAACCCTGGATGGTTGTTTTACGCTTGTCCTAAAGAGGTATTTGGGTTGTACTGTAATTATTTATATTATAATTTTTTACCGAATATTTAAACAATATACATAATTTTTTTGATATTTATTTATCAGCCACCACAGACTGGGTTTATTTTTTGGGTGGATGAGGCAAAAGACAGTAATTCGATGATAATTTCTAACTTAGCTCGATCGAAGAAGAAGCTTCAAAGCAAAATACTGCATTTGAAGATAGCATTACTATTTAGTTGGATTTTCTTTTTTTGTGTAGTTGTCTACAAGTTGTAAAATATAAAATGTAATGTATGTTATTATTTGTAATGGTTTGTGTTTCCATCTATGATAACTTGTTATGCTATCATTTTAATATTGTTTTCTACTGGTTGTAATCTACATGTTTAAAAATAAAACAAACATGATTTATGGAATATCAAATATTTATTTCTTCATATACAATTTAGAATTAAGGAAGGGTAGTTCTAACATGGAATATAAAATAAAACAAACATGATTTATGGAATATCAAATACAATTTCTTCACATGTCGTTTCACTTGTAACATTTTTAAATTTACATCTTTTTTGGTCCAGTAATAACCTCAACCCATTTCATAATGAAACAAGTGAAACACGCGACTCCAAAAGAACCAATACGACCTATTATGTTAAATACATTCTTTGACATTAAAACACATCATAGGTATCTAGATTACGATACAACACTCAATCAAATAAAAAATTTGACAGTAACATAATTAGATTAGTAAACATAAGTAAACCAAATACTCTTACGGATTTTTATTTTGCTGAACAACCACTAATAAAAAGCAAAGATACAGATATATTACCTAAAAATAAAAATTAAAAGACATACATAGACATATATTCTACCTTAAAATTATTTCAACAAACAAGCAAACTATTAAAATATTACTCATCTTCTTCCCACATCGGAAACTCGTAAGGATACTCTTTTTTCATAGCAATGACTTCCGTTTTTTTTCTCCAAATAGTACTCACGAAGTTCTATTTCAGTCTTTAGCTTTCGAAAAATTTCTTCACTAGAGCGGATCGAACTCTCGGCAGATTGGATTTCTTCCCTAGTTCTTATAATCCAATTCCTTTTACGATGAATGTCATCCCAATAGTTGTCTAGAAGGTTTCGTTGGAAACGATAATCTTCAAAAGCCTTATCCACATTAGCTTCTCTTTTTATCAACACTTTTTTCACTTCCTCATCCATCTTCTCTCCTAATATAGGATGATCGGCGTGGGGAAGGGATTTGTTGAAACGTTATAGGAATTTGACTCCAAATGAGGCTTATCGTTGGACGTAGATGGCCAATTAAATTTTGCTAGGATCCTTTTCATCTCCTCTGATCTTTCTGTCATTTTCACGCTACAATTTTTTTGTATTGTTTCTTTGATTTCTAAATTGATAAGAAATGTACATTAAATATTACATTAAATAGTAGTCAACGGCTAGAAGATAGTAGTCAAAACCTATAGAAAAATAGTCACTCTAAAAAAATAGAAGTCAAAGACTAATATAAAGTAGTCAAAACCAATAAAAAGTAGTCAAATTACAATAAAGTCTTGGTACGATATGACAACATCTAATATAGTAGTCAAAACCTATTTGATAATAGTCTAAGCCTATAAATAGGTAGTTAAATTCTCAATTACATATACACACTTAAATGTATGTGTCTGAGATTTACAAATAATATATTAGTGGTTAATCTGTAACCCTCATACACATACAATCATGTCAACTTCTCAAGAAAAATGTGGTTGATGCCACAAGAGAAGCGCTTGCAAATGTTAACAAAAGAAGAAGAGATCAAGAACGAGATTAAAGGCGTTAAAGAAGATAGGAAACGATTGGATAAATTACAAGGCGATATTTGGTCTAAAATGAGGTCGGTTCAAGACAAAGAACGCGACATAAAAACTGCAAGGGCTTGAGTACGAGATGCAATTGACTACGCCAACAAAGAAGAGGTTAAAATGAAAAATATTCACAAAAACATACAAAAAATTACGACCGGGTGATTCAAGAAAAAACAAAATTTCCAAATGATTTTCCATACGTTTGAATTTAATAATTCTTGATTAATCAAGTAGTAAGTTTATGCATTTTTTATGAGTTTATCTATGTAATAAGTTTTATATTTGGTTGTTTATTATTAATATATATATATATATATATATATATATATATATATATATATATATATATATATAATATGTAGTATTCTCTGTATAGTTTGGTTAAGTTTAATAATTAGGGGAAATTTTGTTAACTAATCGTCATCAAACAGTACAGATTGAATGTCACTAAAAACATACAACTCGGACTAACTCAAAATCGACTGTATAGAAGATCCATAATATATCATGGCCATCCTATAACGAAACTGAGTAGCAGCAACAACAGGTGCCATCGATATACCAATCAGTCGACCTGAAACAAACTGATCCATGAACATCAACATAAACACACCACACTCTCTATACATCCCTTCTTGTTGGGGTACGCCCGTAACATCCGTAACAGTGATGGATGCTTCCTGAACAGGCAAACCCATGTGGTTCCAATACTCAATTTCTACCAGAATGCAATCCATAAGCTCTTCAAACCGAACAAAATCAATAATCTTCACGGCGCCAAATAATCGGAAGCTGTCGTACAAATTCAATGTCAGCGTGTCCATCCATAACTCGCCAAGTACCCAATGATGTGGGTTGATGCATATTGGAAAGTAAATTTGTTTTAACACACAACTGTTGCAACTAATTACAATTAAATTCACTGATAATATATATTATTTCTTTACTTACACGGTCAACTTCCAGCCAAGATTTACATCCATCCAATGGGTCAAACGGATTTCCTGTTGCACTTCCTGCCCACTGGAACATCTCAAATCCACCAAAAAATGATGATGGCATGATTGTCCATCGAGCATCCTTCGGTCTCCGCTCATTCAAAAGCCTTCCTCATAGGTCAACATGCTGCATTTAAATTTAATTGAAACATAATTAGCCTATAAACTTTTTTATATTATAAATATAAATAAATGTCTTCATACCGCTTCATCTAAAAATCCCATTTCACTTGCATAAAAAAGCCGATCTCAAAACCTTGCTTTTATTTTTTCATTGTATAACCGATGTTTCAAAAAAAACAGCTAGTTTGTTTCCCATGTATAGAGTAGAAGCATTACAACCCGGATTCACATCCGGCTCCACTAAAAGTGCTGAGGGATCGCTGTCAAATACGGGGAGCGGTTGTTTCGTTGTGTATTACCCCACCTGTACGATATGGGGGTCGCATTTTGAACCTACATTATATACGTAGTCAATAACTATCCATATAGTAATAAAATTATAGTAAATATGATTTTAATCATACTTACCGAAACGTAAGGAGAACTAAGATATTGAGAAGGTTTCAATTGCTTAACCGGACGTCCTTCTTTAACAACAGGCCTGAGTATATGGTTTTTCGCGTCCACAATGTCGCTAGCAACAACCTCCTTCTTTTTCTTTTTCTTCTACACAAAACATATTCATTTTTCGATATACTTTGAAAAAATAAAAAGTTTAATATACAAAACAAAAAAAAAACCACCTTCACGATTTGTTTTCTAGAATCATCCTCTGGTGAATTACCAACATGATCATCCTCGTTAAACTCGATTTGATTTTTGTGGACTATATACCACATCCTCATTCCCCTACATTTAAAGAAAAAATAATTAATAAAAAGCTTCGTTAAAAAATTAAATAATACATCATATATATTTAAATTGATAGTAATACCTCAAAAGCGTCATTGAACAATTGTTCCAAGTCATCACCATCTCGAGTTCCACCTTTATTTTGTCAATCCTCGAATTTCTTCCTCCAAAGATTCAAGTCTTGCCATTATTTCTCGCGCGGTATTTTTGGTAATTCCACTGTATGAGTTCGCTCGGTAGACTTGGAAGATTGGCTGTTTCCACAACTTGTTTTTGACGAAGATGCCCCCTACATATATTTTTTCATATATCAATAACACTTGAAAATTTTTATTATACTAAATTATACTTTTACAAATTTATTTACATCATTTCTAAAGTTGTAGCGTACAGAAGAAGAGACTTCAGACGATTCACAATTCAGACTAGTAATATATGACAGATAATGTGGAGTGGAGGTCTCGGCATCTGAGGCAATCATCTTTTTTTCGGTTGATGCGCCTCGTCCTGATCAACATCGAAAAGATTGCAGACTTTCGCCCAAGTTAACCTCCTAATATGAAACCAGCGCAATATACGTAGATATAAAAAATTTCGTCGTATCGCACCATTTCCCCGGATTGCTGGAAACATCTCCCATATCCATATCTTGTAATAAATATACGTTAATTTATAAGAGTTAGCAATAACTAAAATTTTAAAAAATAAAAAATAAAAACCAATAAATTATTAAATATATTTTTTAATTAGTTAAATATACCTTCAAAGGAATAACAAAACCTAATAGTGTGTACACAATCGCTTTTGTTGGATGGTTGGACATATAATCCTGAAATTTCTTAAACATACCCAACAATTTAGGGTATGTTTTACTCCATAGATAACTCCTCAACGAGAACCTATATTATAAGAAAAAAGTATTAGTTAAATGTATAAAAATTAGTATTTCCACCACCCACAAATATTCCTTGGTGACTTTATCGTTAAGCTCATTTCCCAAAAAACCTTGATTGGGGATATATAGAAAAATGGCACGAACACCATCTTGAGCCGATATGGCATTGAACCGTTGATTCAAGATAAGAAGCTCTAAATCTTCTACAACTAAAGAAGTGTCCGTGCGATACGGGAAGACTCTGGACTGAAATGTATTTTCACCATATCTGTGTTTATACATGGTTGAAAATTCGATCATTGAGTTAGGACACCGACCCATGTAAAGTCCGATCACCAGGCAAAACTCCTCCGGCTCAAATGATAGCGTACGTCTAGAAAACCTAAAATATAGGCGTTCATCGGCATCCGTTTCAGCAGTAGGACGTAACATATGCAGTAACAGCCCATGAATAAGAAGTTCGTCTCTGGACTGAGCTGTTAAGTCCAACAAGTAACCGAAGCTAGTTGTTGAAAACAGATCGCGCACGAGTCCGTTCAAGCGACTTAAAACCTCATGCAATTTATGGCATGAAGCTTTGATAGATAAGTGACCTATCATCGATTTGTTTGGAAGCTACAAAATTAAATAAACATTAAGGTTAAATAAAGTTTTATAAAACTAAAAAAACCGATAAACAATTAGAGAAAACACACAATATATTCTATTTACTTTGTATGAAATACCAAAGGAAATTAATTGACTACATTTTTTTTTGTATTTTCTATACTACTAGTATACCAAATTTAGCATTGTACTTTCAAAATGGTGTGACATTAACATATTTTATAACAAACCCGAAAGTAGCAAAACACAATGTTATTTTATCAATACAATATACTTCAAAATATCTACAAATTATAAAAATAAAAACATTTTCAAATCAATAGTACATTGCTAATGTATGCTATAATTGAGACATAGAAAATAACATCATTTTAAACAACATGCAAACTTTGAATCATAACATACATACAAGGGATACAATCCTGAAAAATACGTTTAAAAATAACTTTCTTTTGAAAAATAATTTAAAAAATATATATAAAAACATAGGTTATTTTTTTGATAAGTTATTAAGAAAAAAGTCTAGATTAGTAATTTCTCTTTAACATAGTTTAAGAAAACATGTTTTGTTGGAAAACACGTATGTATTCCTTTTCCATTTCCGCTGGTACGATGAAAGTTTTTACGATAAAAATAAATGAGTGAAAGAGAATGATTCCCTAATTTTCAATTTTTTTTATTTTCTCAATTAAACTTTTATATATATATATATATATATATATATATATATATATATATATATATATATATATATATATATATATATATATATATATATAAAAGTTATGTGTACAAAAAGAACGTATTTACTGTAACGACTAGCATGACTAAGAATATAAATTTAATATCTTTAATAATGGTTTTCTATTAGTTGCATGCGGTCTCGTTTGTCACATACGTCATAAATAACTATTTGTTATATTTGATTCATATATTAAACTAGTGATAATAAAATATATTTTTATTGTTTTGAGTCATTAACCACACTCAAAAAAAACATTTTTATTGGGTAAAATGGGGAATTGATAGGGGTAAGAAGGGTAGAAATGTAAAAGGGACCAAATGGGGTAATTGCGTGAAGGGGGGAAACGGCCAAAGCCAAGCAAGTAATAAGGGGGTGGCCAACAATGCCAATAGGCAAAAGAAAATGACAACATATGTTACACTTGGTACCCTTCCTCTTTCTCTTATTTGCCAACTCACTCCCTCTGCTTTATGTTGCTTTACCTTGATATCATCGCCACTTATTTTTCTTATTTTTTAATGATTATTAATCACACCACATCAACCACATATTTTGGACCCTTCCCCACCAACTAAAATATTTTATTTTATGCATTAATGGTTTATTGTACCCAAAAAGTAAAACAATTAAGATACAATCAGATTGACCACAAATACTAGCTAAATCTAGCTCTTGCCAATAGCAGTTTACGATTTCTATTCTTGTTTAGATAGATTTTTTCGACTTGTGGTATTAGATATTTCAAATTTCAATAAGAATTTCAGGTTAAAACATTTATTATATAAGCTATTTAGTTATCTTTAAAAGAGAGTTTTCTCTAATTTAAAATCTTGAGAAGGAGACAAATTTTAGTTAGTTTCATATATGTTTTTCCATAAAAAAATTTAATATTTGTTATTTATTAAAACTTCGCAATATTCACAACAAAATACGTTATATGTTAGTGGGATGTGATTCGTACATAACAGTTTTTTGTTAGACACAATAATTTGTTCATTATAAAGTTATGCAATACAACATTTTAAAAAACCAATTGTTGTGCATGGAGAAAAATTATTGTGTACAAATTATCTCCCTATATGTTACCAAGTTATGAAATCCGTCGGCTCCATTAAAATTTGTTTAGCAAACTAAATAATTTTATCTGAAAAGCTAGATGATAGATGATAAATAGCTTATGAATCAATAATATTTGATGAAAATAGCTTATAAGTTAGATTATAATGTAAAATAACATAAATATAAAATTTCATAAATAAACATTTATATTTATAACTAAAAAATAGATATAATTAAAAACATAATTGGAATATTTATAATAAAAAACTTCTTCATGAGCTTATCTAAGGTTATATCAAAGTTACTTACCAAAAACTAGTTTATAATTTAGGTCACTAGCTAGTTTTGTTGTTTTATTAAACAATCTTAATAAGTTGGTTTATTTTTGTCAAATAAAACTTAATATATCTTTGTAGAAATCGATATTGACAGATGATTAATTGGTGATTAATCGATTGGCGGCCTTCAATTGATAACGATTAGGGTGTTTGACGAAGATTGGTTAAAATCGGTCAAACTTGGGTTTGGCAGTGCTCGGCGGTCATAAGCGGGAAATATAAAAAAAAATCTAATTTTTGAATTTTCAAATATTACACTAAAATTTTTAATTTTTAAAGTTTTAAGCTTTACAATTTTAAGATATTATCCTAAAATTTTAAAATTTTCAAATTTTTAAAATTTTAAATTTTGAAATACTTTTTTTTTTGGATAAATTAATCTTTAAAATAAATTTATTAATAATTTAAGGTTTCCGATTAATCGCCGATTAATCCCCGCCGAATCCGATTAATCGTTTAACGTTAGTCGACCGGCGAGCTACCGTTGGACGATTTTCAAAACCTTTCTTTTAGGTTTTCTTTCATGTTACATCAATAATTTAAAAAACATCAACAGCTTACCACTTAATTTTCACATTATAAAGCTCTATTTTGATTCGAAAATGCTTTTTTCTTTTTGATAAAATTTTTATGATTTTTGAAGGAAAAAATATTAACAATTTAATATTAGGAATGATTAAGGTTGTAACATCCCAAAAATCATAGGTAAAAATTTCATTTTTAATTCACCTAAACCAACAAATGTTCATATCAAAACATTCAAAAGTATGTCATAGTAAAATAGTCATCATAGTACATTCCCCCAAAATCATAAAAATGCGAAAAACATAGGTGGAAGCAGTGCGATCACAAAAGACTCTTTCCTTTCGAACCGGAAGTACCTGAAACCATAAGCATAAAGTTATAAGCACAAAGCTTATTGAGGTTCCTCAAGATACTATAACATCCCAAAATTCCAGATAAAAATTTCAGTTTTAATTCATTCCAAAACATCCAATAATCATGTCAAAACAACCAAAAGTGTATCATAGTGAAATAACATCAGAGTACAAAATCCCAAAATCACATAATGTAGAATAGATGGGCGGATGCAGTGCGATCAAGTCGGGTCCTTTCCCTTTGAGCTAGAAGTACCTGAAACATAAAATGGAAACCGTAAGCATAAAACTTAGTGAGCTCCCCCAAAATACCCAATATCATACATACATATCAGTTAAACATAACTGGGGCTATTTCACCCCCTTTCGGCCTCTTTCAACTGGTACTGGGTATATTTCACCCCCTTTGGGCTCTTTCAACTGTTACTAGGTATATTTCACCCCCTTCGGGCTCTTTCAACCGATATTGGGTCTATTTCACCCCCCCTTAGTCTCTTTCAACCGGTGTTGGGCATATTTCACCCCTTCGGTCTCTTTCACCCCTACAACTAGCATATAATCATAACAGCAAGAGTCACAGATACAACAAACATAGCAGGGAATATTCACACAGACAACTATCAATTTCTAAACATAATTCAGTGGGCCGACATTTGTGTCTTCGACCCATGAGTAGTGAAGGAAACTCACCTCAATCTAAAAGTAAACAAATCACACCCGGGCTGCTGAATCACAAACGCTTCTTACTAAATCACAAATAATAGAACCCTAATTAGCAATTAGGTCATTAACCCTTCCGAGAATCCAAATCCTAAATCCCGGCTTCAAGGGTAAATGGTTGTTTTACCCTTCCCTTATTGGCCAAACATACCAAGGCTCAAATCCATACTAGCCCAAAATCCAAAAGACACTCCATGTCCAATATAGGCCCAAATCCATAAAAGCCCAACTCAGAAGGAATCGTGGCCCAACGAGAGCCCAAAACCCTAAAGTCCAAGGTGACCCGAAATCAAAGACCCAATAAGGTTCCCAGGTGAGTTCGTTAAGCGTACCACCGGTACGCCCGATGTGATAGACTAGGGTTTCATCAGACCGAGCAGTTCACCATGGGGAGCCCCGATCCTGTTTGTGAAGAAGAAGGATGGTCGCACCGTATGTGCATAGATTACCGGGAGTTGAACAAGGTAACAGTGAAGAACCGTTACCCACTCCCGAGGATAAATGACTTGTTCAATCAGCTTCAGCGAGCATCTTGGTTTTCCAAGATTGATTTGCGCTCCGGTTATCATCAGATGCGGGTCAGTGGTGAGGATGTTCAGAAGACAACTTTTAGGACCTGTTATGGTCATTATGAGTTTGGGGTGATGCCGTTTGGGCTCACCAACGCTCCATCCGCGTTCATGGATCTCATGAATTGCGTATGCAGGCTGATGTTGGATCGGTCTGTGATGCGACATCTTGGTTTACTCCAAGACTCAGGAGCAGCACGAGCAGCACCTGGGGGAGGTGTTAGAGACGCTGAGGAGGGAGAGACTTTTTGCGAAGTTCTCCAAGTGCGAGTTTTGGTTACGCGAGGTGCAGTTCCTTGGTCACCTCGTCAACCAGAAGGGTATTCTAGTAGATCCGGCCAAGATCGAGGCTATGATGCAATGGCAGGTCCCGAGGTCTCCATTAGAGATTCGGAGCTTCCTAGGTTTGGCAGGGTACTATAGGAGATTCATCTAGGACTTCTCCAAGATAGCAGTTCCACTCACCCGACTGACTAGGAAGTCGGTGGTGTTTCGTTGTGGGCCTGAGCAACAGACAACATTTGAGACCCTCAGACAGCGATTGTGCGAGGCACCGATTCTCACCCTGCCAGAGGGAGTGGATGATTTTGTAGTCTATTGTGATGTTTCGATCACAGGGTTGGGAGCAGTGTTGATGCAGCGAGGGCATGTGATAGCTTATGCCTCTAGACAGTTGAATCCTTAC